TCGCCGCCGTCGTCGCCGCCGCCGCCGTCATCGTCGTCGTCGTCGTTGTCGTTGCCTTTGCCGTCGCCGTCGCAATCGCCGTCGCCGTCGCAGTCGCCGTCGCCGTCGTCGTCGTCGTTTTCGTCGTGGCCGTCGCAGTCGCCGTCGCCGTTGTCGTCGTCGTCGCTGCCGTCGCCGTCGCCATCGCCGTCGCCGTTGCCGTCGCCGGTGCCGTCGCCGTCGCCTTCGCCGTTGCCGTCGCCGTCGTCGTCGTCGTCGTCGCCGTCGTCGTCGTCGTCGTCGCCGTCGCCGTCGCCGCCGCCGCCGTCGCCGTCGCCGCCACCGCCGCCGCCGCCGTCCCCGTCGTTGTCGTCGTCGTCGTCGTCGTCGTCGTCGTCGTCGTCGTCACCACCGCCGCCGCCGCCGGCGCCTTCGCCGCCGTCGCCGACGCCGTCGCCGTCGCCGTCGTTGTTGCCGTCGTCATCGCCAGCCGCCGTGGCGGGCCGCGACTGGCCTGTCGTCGTCGTCGTCGCCGTCGTCGTCGTCGTCGTCGCCGTGGCCGCCATCGCCGTCGCCGTCGGCGTCGCCAGCGCCGTCGCCGTCGCCGTCGCAGTCGCCGTCGCCATCGTCGTCGTCGTCGTCGTCGCCGTCGCCGTCGCCGTTGCCGTCGCCGTTGCCGTCGCCGTCGCTGGCGCCGTCGCCGTATCCGTCGCCGTCACCGTCGCCTCCGCCGTCGTCGCCGTCGCCGTTGCCGTCGCCTTTGCCGTCGCCGTATCCGTCGTCGTCGCCGTCGCCGCCGCCGCCGTCGACGTCGCCGTCGCCGTCGCCGTCGCCGTCGTCGTCGTTGTCGTCGTTGTCGTCGCCGTCGCCGTCGCCGTCGCCGTCGCCGTCGTAGTTCTCCTCGTCGCCGTCCCCGTCGCCGATGCCGTCGCCTTCGTCGTCGTCGTCGTCGCCGTCGCCATGGCCGTCGCCGTCGCCGTCGCCAGTTACCGTCGCCGTCGTCGTCGCCGTCGCCGTCGTCGTTGTCGTCGTCGTCGTCGTCGTCGTCGCCGTCGCCGTTGCCCGTCGCCGTCGCCATCGCCGTCGCCGTCGCCGTCGTCGTCGTCGTCGTCGTCGCCTTCGTCTCCGTCGTCGTTGCCGTCGCCGTCGCCGTTGCGGTTGCCGTCGCGCCGTCGCCGTCGTCGTCGTTGTCGTCGTCGTCGTTGTCGTCGTCGCCGTCGCCGTCGCCGTCGCCGTCGTAGCCGTCGCCGTCCTCGTCGTCGTCGCCGTCGCCGATGCCGTCGCCTTAGTCGTCGTCGTGGCCGTCGCCATGGCCGTCGCCGTCGCCGGTCACCGTCGCCGTCGCCGTCGCCGTTGCTGTCGCTGTCGTCGTCGTCGTCGTCGCCGTCGCCGTCGCCGTCGCCGTCGTCGTCGTCGTCGTCGTCGCCTTCGTCGCCGTTGTCATTGCCGTCGCCGTCGCCGTCGCCGTTGCCGTCGCCGTCACCGTCGCCTTTACCGTCGCCGTAGCCGCCGCCGTGGCCGTTGCCGCCGTCGTCGTCGTCGTTGCCGCCGTCGCCGTCGCCGTCGCCGTCGCCGTCGCCGTCGCCGTCGTCGTCGCCGTCGCCGTCCCCGTCGCCTTCGCCGCCGTCGTCGTTACCGTCGCCGATGCCTTCGCCGTCGTCGTCGTCGTCGCCGTCGCCGTCGCCGTCGCCGTAGCCGCCGCCGCCGCCGTCGTTGTCGTCGTCGTCGTTGCCGCCGTCGTTGCCGTTGTAGCATCGCATGGTATGGTCAACCGTTTCGCTCGTTCCGTCGTTCCCAGGCGGCGGGCGGTACTAGTAGATCTCGGCTGTGCCATTGCAGTAGCAGCCCTTTCCAGCGCTTCCCCTCCAGCCCATCCGCGTCTCGCATTGCGCGCGCGCCAAATCGACCGCCGCCAACGCCGACGCCGATGGCGCTGGGGTCGGTCGCGCGAGGCACGCCCTGGTCTGGTCAGGCGTCGGTTTGCTCCTGCTGCGTGTCGTTCAGGGTGCCGTTCGCTTTGTAGCAATTAGCAGCGAGAGGCCGAAGGAAAGCCCGAAACGCTCGGCGGAGGATGGCGATGGGGCTGGAGCGTCAACAAGTTGTCTTCCTTGACTGCGGCGTGGAGGGTGTCCCTGGCATGGGTTTCCAATTTTGGCCGAGGGTCGTGGTCGTTTCCGTCGTCGTTGTCGCCGTGATCGTCCTCCCTCCTCCTCCCTCGCGTCGTCGTCGTCGTCCGTCGTCGGCGTCTCGTCGTCGTCCCTCCTATTTCGTCGCCGTCGTCGTCGTCGTCGTCGTCGTCGTCGTCGTCTTCCCTCCTCCCTCGTCGTTGTCGTCGTCGGCGTCGCCGTCCTTCCTCCTTCTTCGTCGTTCGCGTCGTCGCCGTCCTTACTCCTCCCTCGTCGTTGTCGTCGTTGTCGTCGTTGTCGCCGTCGTCGTCCTTCCTCCTCCCTCGTCGTCGTCTTCATTGGCGTCTTCGTCGTCGTCGGCGTCGTTGTCGTCGGCGAAGTCGTCGGAGACGTCGTCGGTGTCGTCGTAGTCGTTGTCGTCGGTGTCGTCGTAGTCGGTCTTAGGAGGTTTTGCAAACCAAGTTGCGGGTGGGTGGGTGGGATGTTCGCAACCGCGTGGGATGTGCCAAATCATGGGTGAACATCAAATTACCCCAGTGCGACCCTAACTAGAAGTTGGAGCCCTTAGAAAAGCAGCATTAGTTGCTATGCTATGCTATGCTATGCTATGCCACGCTATGCTGCGCTATGCTATGCTATGCTATGTTATACTATGCTATGCTATGATATTATATGCTGCGCCATGCTATGATGTGCTATGTTATGCTAAGCTATGCTATGTCATGCTGCGCTGTGCTATGCTAAGCTATGCTATGCTATGCTATGATAAGCTGTGCTATGATAATTGCTATGCTATGCTATGCTATGCTGCGCTATGCTATGCGTTGCTTTGCTTTGCTTTGCGTTGCTTGTGCTGTGCTTTGCTGTCGCTGTTGTTGCTTTGCCTTTGCTTTGCTGCTATGCTCTGCTATGCTATGCTGTGCTGCGCTATGCTATGCTGTGCTGTGCTGCGCTGCGCTATGCTATGCTATGCTATGCTATGCTATGCTATGCTGCGCTATGCTATGCTATGATGGGCTATGCTATGCTATGCTATGCTGCGCTATGCTATGCTACGCTATCCTATGCTATGCTGTGCTCTGCTATGCTAAAGCTCAGCGAAGCTACGATGGAGGTAAGCCAGCTAAGATACACCTGAGCTAAGATTAACCTAAGCTAAGCTAAGATGAAATAAGCCAAGCTAAGATTAGATAAGCAACGCTAAGCTAAAGGGGTGTAACTGGGGGAACCGCGGGGCGGATACTGGGGGAACCGCCCGGGGCGGGCCCCACTGCCCGGCCCTTTCAGCTTCCGGGTAAGAACCCTTCTAGGCAGAGCCTAGGTAGGGAAAAACATAATAGACTCTACCCCTCCCCCCGGCGTTATCGGTCCCCCTTTCGATTATGTAAATCATATATGAGTTGGATTACATGCCCATCCTAAATATGAATTTACACTATCCCCGGGGGGCCGGGTTCCCCCCCCCTGAGGTTCCCTTGTAAAAAACATTATGCGGTGACATTTTTTGTTCTAACATAAGACTTTTTCACGAATCCCTTGCAAAACATGGGACGAAGTGCACACGCGCGCGTCGTCGCGCGCGCATGCCGAAATCCTTCAAAAACCCTCGGTGCCGGAAGGATTTCGCAATCGAGTTCCCAAAAAACATACAATATCGCAGGGTTTCGCAACACTGATTTGCTAAAAAAGTTTCCGCGCGAGCTCTTGCGAAATCTTAAGTTAACCATAGGTTTTTCGAGATTTTCACAACTTGCTACCCAACGGGCTTCGCGCGCGCGCATGCCGAAATCTGTCGAACGCCCTTGCGCGTGTGCCGTCGCGAGAACCCTCTGCAAATAATAAGACGAAGTGCAGACGCGAGCGTCGTCGCGCGCGTATGCCGAAATCCTTCAAAAACCTTCGGTTTCGGAAGGATTTCAAACTCGTGTCCAAAAAAACCTTCAAAAACACAAGGTTTCGCAACACGGATTTTCAACAAAAGCGTGCGCGCGCGCTCTTGCGTCGTCGTCGTCGTCGTCGCCGTCCTCCCTCCTCCCGCGTCGTCGTCGTCGTCGTCGCCTACGTCGTCCTCTGTCTTTCCTCGTGTTCGTCGTCGTCGTCCTCTTTGGCGTCGTGGTCGTTTCCGTCGTCGTTGTCGCCGTGGTCGTCCTTCCTCCTCCTCCCTCGTCGTCGTCGTCGTCGTCGTCGTCGTCGGCGTCTCGTCGTCGTCCCTCCTATTTCGTCGCCGTCGTCGTCGTCGTCGTCGTCGTCGTCGTCGTCGTCGTCGTCGTCGTCGTCGTCTTCCCTGCTCCCTCGTCGTTGTCGTCGTCGGCGTCGCCGTCCTTCCTCCTTCTTCGTCGTTCGCGTCGTCGCCGTCCTCCCTCCTCCCTCGTCGTTGTCGTCGTTGTCGCCGTCGTCGGCCTCCCTCCTCCCTCGTCGTCGTCTTCATTGGCGAGGTAATCGTCGTCTTCGTCGTCTTCGTCGTCGTTGGCGTCGGCGTCGTGTCGGTGTCATCGTAGTCGTTGTCGGGGGCGTCGTCGTCGTCGTTGTCGCTGTCGTCGTCGGCGTCGCTGTCGTTGCCAAGTGCCATTTGGTACCCACCGTCACGGTCTTCGGAGATTTTGCAAACCAAGTTGCGGGTGGGTGGGTGTGATGTTTGCGCGAGCAGTGGAGTGGACAACTCACTGCGAACAGAAATGAATTGCACCACATAAGTTGCACCACATGGATTGCACAACGAAGTTGCACAATGTACGCACATCTATATATATACAGAGAGATCGTGCTCCACAGATATCGTGCAACATCTATCGTTCGAAACACAGCGTTTGGGTTTCACGCTGGCTTACAGTTTGTTTTGAGAGCGTCCTGCTGCTCAAAGAACATGCCGCAGCAGGCCTGGAGGAATGCTGGGGCGGCCGGTCCCCGCCCAGCAGGATGAGGCGCCCCCCCCCTTGGCGGCACCGCGAGGCCTGCGTCGAGCCTGGCCCCCCCGAGCTGCGGGCGCTGGGGCCCGGCGCGCTCTGCAGGCAGGCTGGCCGGGCGGTGCTGCTGAAGGATCGGGGCATCTTGCGACAGCAAGTCATCATGGCCCTGTTTTCCACCACCACCACCACCACCGTAATTCAGAGGGCGGGAGGAGGTGGAGGATTAGGAACAGGACGAAGAGGAGGAGGAGGAGGAGGAGGAGGAGGAGGAGGAGGAGGAGGAGGAGGAGGAGGGGGAGGGGGGGGGAAGGAGGAGGAGGAGGAGGAGGAGGAGGAGGAGGAGGAGGAGGAGGAGGGAGGAGGAGGAGGACCCCCTCCCTCTCCTACTTATGGTGGTGGTGGTGGTGGAAAGCAAGCCCACCAAATCACGGGGCCCTTGTCTGCCCTCGCATCTCCGTCTTTAGAGTGCACAGGCGTCGGCTAGCGTCTGGTAGTCGATAACCCAGACCCCCTCGCGTCGCGAAAAATTCACGACGGGAGGCTTTTCGCTACTTTGATGCCTCCAGGGGCCCTCGCCGGGCCTCGGGACCTGTCCAGAATCGACCCAGGATAAAGAACCGGTCCCCGGGAAGGGATCTCGGCTCCTGGGGGTAGCGTGTCTCCGAGGCCGTCGCCGCGGCACGCTGTGCAGACGTTCCCGACTGTAACTGTAAGGCAGCCCAAGGCTGCTTTGCACGACGGCCGAAGGGCGTCCCCCTGGCGCGGGGGGAAGCACGGCCGCCGCCCCACTCGCTAGCCTCACGGCTTGAGTTCAGAAGCTGTTGCTGGGAGGATCGGGGGGGAGGAGGGGGAGGCACGGGGATGACGGTCTCCTCTGCCCCCGTCGTGGAGAGGAGCCGGGCGACGACGGCGACGTGGTGAGCCTGCGCGCCCGAGCGCGGCCCTCGGAGCAGTAGCAGCAGAAGGACCAGGAGCAGGACGAGGAAGGACGAGGGAGGATGGCCTCGAGGATCTGGGTTCCAAGACTCAAGAGGAGGAGGAGGAGGAGGAGGAGGAGGAGGAGGAGGAGGAGGAGGAGAAGGAGGAGGAGGAGGCGCGGGATGGGGAGGAGAATGGGGGAGGAGGAGAAGGAAGGAGGAGGAGGAGGAGGAGGAAAAGGAGGAGGAGGAGGAGGAGGAGGAGGAGGAGGAGATGTTTGCTTGTTTGCTTTGAGCCGCTGCCAAGTCTCAAGAGACCTCTAGAGGCTTCGGGGACATCTGGAGATCTGCGGTGCTTCCTTACGAAGGCCGCGGGGAGGGGGGAGCGAGGATTGCGGGGGAGGAGGGTGCATGGGGTGAAGGGTTGAGGTGGAGGGAGGAGTGAGGAAGAGGGAGGAGAAATACTGCTTCGGTCGCCCCGCTCCGAAGCAGGGGTCCCTTTTGCCACGCGGAGCTCGTGCTCCTCCCACTCCTCCTCCTCCTCCTCCTCCTCTCCTCCTTCTCCTCCTCCTCCTCCTCCTCCTTCTCCTCCTCCTCCTCCTCCTCCTCCTCCTCCTCCTCCTGGCACCTGGTATCTGCTCCGGCCCCCGCCGTGCTCCTGCCTGCCCTCTTCTGCCCCCGCTCCCTGCTGCTCCTCCTCGCCCGCCTCCTCCGCCTCCACCTCCTGCTGCAAGATCCCGCAGGGCAAGTGGTCGTAGTGCGGCGAAGGTCGTGAGTAGACAGGACAGCGGGATCCGAGGCCTCTCGGTTTGCTCTACCTCCTGCTCCCCCCCCGCGCCCAACTTGCCCGCGCGCTGCCCCTCGCAGCGAGAGGTGCCGTCTCTGCGCAGTCGCCCCGGCTCCCCCCGCGATCAGCCGCCCGTCGGCTCAAGAAAAGAGGATTGGCCACACCCACACAATGGAAACGACACGTCCGACTCCATATTATTAATACGCTCTATAGCGATGTCCACGTGGGGGTCCCTTCTTCTGCGCCTGCACCTCTTGATCTCAGGAGCTCGCTCCACCCCGCCGGCGGGATGCCGGGCGATCGGCGGACGAGGTGAGCGCCGGCCACACGAGGGCGAGCTGGTGGATGGCACGTTCGCCTTGCAGTTCCAAGCCCAGGAGGGCGGACGGGAGGAGACTGCCCCGAAGGGCCGGTCGGCCACGCCAGTGCCCCCGGCCTCCCCGCCAGACTACCACGCGCTCCCAGATCTGGACCCAGAGGCCGTCCACAACACCGGCGACCACTTCGCCGCCTACGGCCACCACACCGAGGCGGGCGACGCGACGTTCCCGGCCGACGGCTTCTCTGGGGACCTGGGCAGTCACCACCTGGACGAGATTGGCAACTGGGTGCCCAGCGATTGGGGCCCCTGCCAGGGCGGGTGCCAGCAGCCGGTGCGGACACGGCAGGTGACCTGCCGCTCGATCCTGAATCCACGGTGCTCTTGCGGGCAAGCCGCCGCCCGCCCCTTGCCTTTTGGGCAGCGCTCACGCGGGGCGTTCCAGAAAGGGCCTCGCCTTCGAGGATCGAAGCAGTTGGCATCTCTTCATCGGTGGAAGGCGGTGGAAGGTGGTCAGCGGAAGGCTGCGGAATCAAAGCGGGGGCGGCTCTACCTGCGGCGGATTTCTGGCGGAAACCAGCGCAAGTAAAACATGCGTCCTTGAGACATGCATTTTTTGTTTGGGGGGGCGGGACTTTTGGAACCGCGCACGTGGCGAAACGGATGGCCAGAGTTTGGTCATTATGTCGTATCTTGTTCTGTAGTTGCCCCAGCGGTTGCTGAAACAGGTTGGGAAACATTGGGGGTGTGATTGTCCATTGTTTGTGGGATGCTCGGAGGCCCTCTCGGAGGCTTCTCAGGCCCACCGATGCAATCTTGGGGGCCCCTGGGACTTTCTTGACGCCGTCTTGGGGACGTCTTGGATGCATATTTGGCCACCTCGGGGCCTCTTTGACTGTTCTGGCGGCCTCTTGCGGTCCTCTTCGGTAGGCCGTCTTGTCTTGGGCGATCTTGGGGCTTGTTTTGGCCTCTTGGGACCCTCTTGGGCCCACGGTGTACCCACTGGCAGTCCTTCGGGTCGGCACCGCACGTGGCACCAAACATTTCGAACCACATACATTCGTTTTTTGTTGTTTCAGTCTCTTGGTGGCCATCTTAGGGGTCTCATGGAGGCCGCTTGGGCCATCACGAGGTTTCATGATCCCAGCTCCCCTGCAACCCTTCTGGCCTTGGGCCACAACTTGGGCGGACGTATTTGTGCCTCTTGGTAGCATCCAGGGCCACTTGTGACCTCGAGAGACCTCTGTGCGACCGCGGGAGGCCTTTGGGATTGCTGGCAGCCCTCTTGGGCACATTCTCGAACCACATGGGCGTCATCCCGGACGGACAGATCCGTGGGAATGCGAATGTGGGTGGGGAGGGAGGGAGGGCGGGGGGGCGCAGCGGCGGGAACAGCATCAGCAAGACCAGACCGATTCACCAGAGACGACGTTATGACTCCTGGGAGGCTCTGCAGAGCAGGACGACAGGGACAAGGGAACGCACGATTGCCGCTTTGTCACGCCGAAGCCACCTGCAGTGAGCTGCATGGGGGCGACGGACTACTCGGAGATCCCCGACAGGTGGTGCCACTCCTCTTCGCCTGCCCCCAAGCCGATCAAGGTCGAGAGCTGCAGCTGCTCGCCGGCTGGGCTGGAGGTGTGCTCGCCGCTCGCCGAGGACTGCCCGGCGCCGCAGGACGGGGAGAAGCAGTTCCACATGTCGGTCATGCCGGGCTACGTGGAGCTGGGCTGCTTCGAGCTGGCGCCCAGGGACACGGGGGCCCAGAAGGTGTGCGTCCAAGAGGAGTCGCGCGACACGTTCTGCGAGGACTGGAGGTTCCCCATACCTTGCCGCAGCGGCTTCCCCTTCTACACCTTCTGCCGCAACCTCGAGGGGGCTGCGCCGGGCGTGGAGGCTCACATGTTCGAGAAGGAGTGCTTCGATAAGTGCATCCACAAGGGCATGGACATGGCGGCCGTGGTCGAGGGCGTGGAGTGCCGGTGCGGCGCCACTCCGAACAACGTTGCCGTTTGGCGTTCCGACGCGGCGCCGACGAAGAAGCTCTTCAGCATGGACAGCGTGTTTGCTGTAAGGGCCCTGCCGATCAACTACGGCACCATCTGCCCCCTGAAAGTCCTGCGGTACACGGGCGCCTACGATACTGGCTTCGTGCCCATCCAGTACTTCGGTGCCAATGTCATGGACCAGGCCTACGTGGACAGCATGGTCTTGGAGCACGACATCGCTGCCGAGAGCGAGGAGGAGAAGCCCAACCTGGATTTCATTCACTACGACGCCAACCGGACGACTGCTGGCGGGGGCGGCAACAGGTCCAGAGACGACCCTGCGTGGCTCCGGCCCTGTTACCCCAGCAATTGCGCCTCTAGCAGGGGGCCGTGGATGCTGCGCCAGACCGAGGCGCCCGCGGGGATGCCCTCAGGAGCCGAGAAAGTTTGGGAAGAGTACACCATAGTGCCGTACATGTTCGAGGACGGCGTGCAACCGATGGACGAGACCAGAAAAGAGGCCTTCCGCGCAGCGGCGGCGGAGTGGGCCTCTCACACGTGCATCGTGCTTAAGGAGGCGTCCTCCCCGACAGCCCTAGACCCCAGCGGGAACTACATCTCGGTGAAGGTGGAGGATCAGAGGAGGAAAAGGCACCGATGCCGCTACGCTTCCCTCGTCACCGCGGCCGGATTCGCTGGCCTGCACGCCTCCCAGGAGAGGGCCAGGAGGAAGTAGCAGTATATCGGCATTCCTGCTCCCCCCGAGGATCTCGACTACTGCTACGTGGTGGGCGGCCTGGGCTATGGCACGAGCACGATCAACCTGGGGTGGTGCAGCACGATGTCGCACGTGGGCAACATCGTGCACGAGATCGGGCACGCGCTGGGCATGCTGCACGAGCAGCAGCGGCAGGATGCCCAGAAGAGCTACCACGGCCACGGGCCGCACCTGGAGGTCTACTGGGACCAGATCGACCCCTCGTGGAGGAGCCAGTACCTGCCCATCGACACGAGCTACATCGGCTCGGGGCACGATGGCGACAGGGACCCCTGGGACGCGGGGTATTCAGGAGGGGAAAAAACACACAGACACAATTAATCCTCGATTCCCAGGAAAATATGGGAAAATATGGGAATTGGGGGGGAAGACAAAAACCCAGAAAATATAGGAAAATATGGGAACTATTTTTATTAGTGTGTATTTATTTGTGTGTCCTAATTTCCCTTTAGGTATGCGCCGTATGACTTCGGGAGCCTGATGCACTACCCGTCCGCCCAGCGGTTCACCACCATCCCGGCGGACGAGCTGTCTAAGACCGGCCAGCGGGCGGCACTGTCGGCTGGCGACATCCTCCAGATCAACGACATGTATCAGTGCATCCAAGAGGACGGCGCAACATCGCAACCGACGCCGGCGCCATCGGCGCCCGAAGTACTTGTTGTCTCGGGCGCGTGCCCATTCCAGAGCGGCCTGAACGGGGAGTGGGCGAGGGCGGGCTACACCAAGACTGGCCACGCTTACTACATGAAGGGCTGGCGCAGCCTCTACTACGACCACTCTTGCAACGGCGCGGGCTTCACCTCTACCTGGGTCTTCGACTCGACCGAGCCGGACGTGAATAAGGACTCGGACCTCGATAACGATGGCGTCTGCTCCTTCATCGGGTACCACTTCTCCGCCTCCGACGTGCCCCATCTGGGCCACGTGGAGTGGAGCATTTTCTGCGGCACCTGGTTCGACCCAGTGACCTTGACGGTGGAGCAGGGTGTCGCCCCAACGCCGGTGCCCACGCTGGGGCCGGGTCAAACCAAGGCCCCGACTCCCGCGCCAGCTTCCTCGCTGGGCTTTACGATCGCCAACGCCTGCGAAGAAAAGAATTACCTCGACGGTGCCTACTCTGCGCAAGGAGTCACGGCGAGCGGCCTCCCGTACTACAAGCATGACCAGTACCCTCTGTACGTTTATTGGGACTCGCACTGTGATGGGGCCAGCTTCCCGAGCGCCTGGATCTTCGACAACGACGCCCCGAGCACCTCTGCCCCGAGCGACCTCGACGGCGACGGCCAGTGCAGCTTCTTCGGCTTCATGGAGAGCCCCCTGCAGCTCCTCGAGCCGGGGCAGCACACGTTCAACATCTACTGCGCCTACTGGATGCCCGTGGGCCTCAGCGTGACCGTTGCGGCCGCGCCCACGGCCGCACCCGTACCAGCCTCGCCTGCGCCCACGCCGCTGCCCACCCTGGAGCCCACGCCGGAGCCCACGCCCTCGCCCACGCCAGCGCCGACGGCGGGCCCGACGACGCAGCCCACCACGGCGCCGACGGCGGGCCCGACCGCTCTGCCTACGGCGGCGCCGACTGCGGGCCCCACCGCGCAGCCCACTGTGGCGCCGACCGCGGGCCCGACTGCTTCGCCGACTGCGGCGCCGACGGCGGGCCCGACCGCTTTGCCCACCGCGGCACCGACCGCGGGCCCAACCGCGCAGCCCACTGTCGCGCCGACCGCGGACCCCACTTCGGCGCCGACCCCTGAACCGACCGCTTCGCCCACTGCGGCGCCGACCGCGCAGCCCACCGCGGGCCCTACCGTTTCGCCCACCGTGGCGCCGACCGCGGGCCCGACCGCGCAGCCAAGCGCGGCGCCGACCGCCAAACCGACCGCTTCGCCCTCGCTGGCGCCTGGCCCGACTGGCCCGACGGCAATGCCAACACCTGGCCCGACGGAGACGCCTGTGTATTTCAGCTACCTTGAATTCACTGTCGCTGGGATCGACTACTCTTCGCTTGCGGCCTCTCAGGAGCTAATGGCCGCCTTCACCGCGAAGATCGCCAAGAGCACCTGTGGTAGCGTCGGGCTGCCAGCTTACAACTGCTCGGTGGTTGTCTTTGCGGGCTCGGTCAAGGTGGGTGTCACCATCGGCGGCAAGAGCTCTTACGAAGACGCCTCGAGTCTTGCCGCCGCGCTCTCAGAGGTCAATGAGACGCTGCAGACAGATGTGGTCGACAGCGTAACGAACGACACGCAGATCATGGCGGCTACCGACTCGATCTCTGTCGCCACCAGCGAGCTCCACGTCTCGATCAGGACTGGCCCCCCGCAGATCGACGGAATAGGCTCTGGCCCCCCGCCGATGGACGGAATGGGCGCCAGCAATGGCAACGAAGCCTCCGCGACGGGCGACCCACATGTCTCGAGCGTCACGGGGAGGAAGTTCGACGTCAACCTCCCCGGTGGCTACGTGCTGATCAGGGCCCCCCAGGACCCGCGGCTGCCCGCCAAGCTGGAGGTGAACGCCACCCTCGCGACCTCTGGGGGCGCCGCCTGCGGCCTCTACATCAAGAGCATCCGCCTCGGCGGCGAGTGGCTGGCCAACCAGCTCGTGGACGTGCGGCCGCTTCAGCGCGACGTCGAGGGCGGGAACGCCGCGGGCACCAGGACGGTTCGCCCCTTCTCCGTGCGGATCCAGGAGCCGAGG